AATACCAAATGATTTCATTTATTAAATTTTTCATTTAATTTATTTTGAAACATTATATGATTTAACAATGTTTACATAGAATGCTTCATAAACATGCATCATGTTTCAAAAAGGAGTAGGATGAAGCATAAGCTTTATACTGTACAGTGCATTAACCGCTCACACTACAACTCCCATAATGCCCTGCTGTTGTTCAGGACAGGACCCAGAAACTCCTCTGGGACAGTAGCTACACACTACAGCTGTCACTGTGCTAATGACCAAAAAATGACCAAAAGAAAGGCAGAAAACAGGAGCTTTCTGCACAAGCAAATTTAATTTTGATATTTAATTCAGAATAGGCTGTGAATAGAAAAATGTTTTAAGATTTTAGTTCATAAATTAATGCCATTGATGTGTTTTTTATTAGAAATTTGATTTTGCATGTCTCCACTATTAAGTTATATATAACGTAATAAAAGTTGCTTGTTCCATATTCAATGTTAAAGCGAAATTTGTTTTATTCCACATTAAAAGGTTCATTTGTTCAATCTTGGCCCGCGGCTTTGTTCAGGTTTTACATTTTGGCCCTCTGTGTTTTGGAGTTTGACACCCCTGCTTTAAGGTGTCATGTGGAGGGTTCTTGAGGGAGGACTCAGGTGCGGAGATGACGGAAAAACAAGGTTTATTGTAACAAAAAACACTCATGAGGAGTGAACGTCCAGACATGGTACAAATCAAGGCTGTGGAAAACTGTGAGCAAAGTATCAAAGCTATAAGCTAACAAGACTGTGGCAAAACTGTGACTGTGACAAAAAGCAAACCTGGCGTGGGGGTGACCAATTGAACAATTGTCTAACAGAAGTCAAATCTTGGATGGAACAAAACTGTCTTCACCTCAATCAAAGTAAAACGCAAGTTATACTATTTGGTCAGAGTCCTCACAAAACAGATCCAGATCTGATTCTTGGTTCTTTAGCTCGGTTCTGTCAGACCTCTGCTAGGAATCTTGGTTTTACGTTTGATAGTTGTTTAAAGCTAGATAAACAAGTTAGTTCTGTCGTTAGATCAAGTTTTTATCACCTGCGTATTTTAGCTAAAGTTAAATCTTATTTTTGTTTAAAAGACTTTGAAGGACTTATCCATGCCTTCATCACATCTCGTTTGGATTACTGCAACTCATTATATAGAGGTCTGGATAAATCACAGATGCAGCGACTCCAAATGATCCAGAACGCAGCGGCTCGGCTTCTCACAGGAACCAGGAAGCGCGACCATATAAGGCCTATACTGGCCTCTTTACATTGGCTGCCTGTTCTTTATCGAATAGATTTTAAGATTCTTTTATTAACTTATAAAGCCTTAAATGGATTAGCTCCCCCGTATCTTCTGGAACTTTTAAAATTTCAGCCCGTGTCCAGAACCCTACGCTCTAATAATCAACTTTTGCTGACAGTTCCTCGGACCCGATTTAAGAGGAAAGGAGATGGGGCTTTTTCTGCTGTTGCTCCTTCTCTTTGGAATGATCTACCCTTTCCAAATTAGATCTGCCCACAGCCTGGATCATTTTAAATCGCTTCTTAAAACTAATTTTTATTCCTTGGCATTTAATTGAATTAGTTTGATACCTTGTTTTATTAATTTGTGTTGTTATCATTATTGTACAGTACTTTGGTGCAGTTCTATGCCTGTTTTAAAGTGCTATAGAAATAAATTTGACATTGACATTGACATTGACGAAACAAGACGGACAAGACCAGAAGGACGAAAAAGACGCAAACACACTGGCACAGGACATGGGAAACGAGGACTATTTAAACACAATAGGTAATCAAGACATGACAACACACCAGACGTGACATAAGGTGTTAAAGATTTCACTGGTTTCCTGGTTTCTGTTGGGCCTGAGATCCAGTATTTGTACATAAAAAGGACCAGAACCCCAAACGGATCCATGAAGTCTGAAGGAGTGGAAACATTAGACTGGTCAGGTTCTGGGGACTTTCTGTCCCTTTTTATCAGACTTTTTGTCCCTTTTTATCAGACTTTTTGTCCCTTTTTATCAGACTTTTTGTCCCTTTTTATCAGACTTTTTTGTCATTTTTATCAAACTTTTTGTCCCTTTTTATTAGACTTTTAGTCCCTTTTTATCAGACTTTTTGTCCCTTTTTTTGAGACTTTTTTACCTTTTTTATCAGACGTTTTGTCCCTTTTTATGAGATTTTTTGTCCCTTTTTATGAGATTTTTTGTCCCTTTTTATCAGATTTTTTGTCCCTTTTTATCAGACTTTTTGTGCCTTTTTATCAGACTTTTTGTCTCTTTTTATCAGACTTTTTGTCCCTTTTTATGAGATTTTTTTGTCATTTTTATCAGACTTTTTGTCCCTTTTTATGAGATTTTTTGTCCCTTTTTATCAGAATTTTTGTCCCTTTTTATCAAACTTTTTGTCCCTTTTTATTAGACTTTTAGTCCCTTTTTATCAGACTTTTTGTCCCCTTTTTATCAGACTTTTTTGTCATT